GAGAAATATTTTTATAATACTTAACAAAATTTTCAATAATTCAATCCAAATGTTATTTCATAATGTTTTTTTAATAACTGTTACTTTGTGTAATTGATGCTAAAAGAACGATTTTTGGCCCAGGAATACAGCATTCCTTAACAAGAGATAAAGGATTGAGCGAGACCAACTGAGAGCGGTGAGAATGACTGGAGCGATGTACTTTTCTTCTGCATCCTCTCGTTTCGCAGCTAAACTGCACTAATACTTAAACATCAGAGTTGCTTCGCAGCTGGCAACTCCAAAAATAATAAAAGTAGTATCCAGATCATTGATAGACTAACTATCAGCGCGGGAAAGTTACCAGCTGACGCGTTATAAGTTCTCCCTTCACTCTCAGTCCAACATAGGTGATAACCACGAGATAACGATTTTGTATTATCTATATTCGTAAGGGTATGAGCACCCTTTATTATTATCTCTCATTAATTTTATTTCACAGTTAGGTTTTTATAAACAGATATAAAAGTAAAATACAAAAACGTAAATACAAAAATAAATATAGTATAAAAGACCTAACCTAGCAGGCCACCAGCAGCAGGGCCAGGTCCAAGCTACCGGTGGTTAGGGCCGCAGAGAAAGAAACCGCCTGACGATGTGAGCCGTGTACAGGAGTACTGCCTTTTGCATCTGCCCCTTGACCCAACCATCTAGCTAGAGGCTCTTTAGATGTTGGTCGAGACTCTTCGCTATGAGACCGTTCACACTAACAACTATGTATATGGACAATGATCGTCGAATCCACATCCCACAAAGCGGTTACCACGTGGGCCAAGTCCAGGTACTTGCTGATGAGCACCCTTATTATTAATATGACTAAAATCAGTAAAAAATAGGGATGATAACAAATTTTCTTTTCTTCACGTAGATTATGAAAAAGTATTGGACAAGCATAAATTTTTATTTTTTCACATAGATAATCAAAAAACTACAGAGATAATGATATATTAATTTGAAATATCGAGTGACGTCACGTTTTCGTAAAATATTAACTAAAAAGTGATGTTACCACTCCTAAACTTGGACGCGCTTCATCTTCGCCAAATTTTTGCTTGATTGACAAAAGAAAAAAAATATATCCATTATTTTTTGATTATTTTACCTCGTCATCATCCCTATTATATAGTTAACTAATACTTCATTATCGTGAAATCCGTCAATCGATCGTGTGATTTGAGCACCTAGTGCGAATTTTTCACGTTTGCGCAATTTAGCATCACCATTTCAGTATGGATTTAAGTATCGCAACGTGTTCTTTTTGTTACGCTGGAAAGCGGTTATGGGAGGAGGCTCTGATACTAATAATCTGATACTGACAGAACATGTAGCCCCGCAGCAAGACAGAGCAATTAAAAAAATATCAGTATCAACAGGTTTTTTTTAAATTACCTAAACCTTTGTTTAAAGAAAATTTAAATAACGCCTATGATGCAATTTTACAGAATACAATAAGAACTTAAGCAACTTGCAACTGTGTTACCTTATTACACCGTATTAAAAAAGCAAGGTAATGCATATTGTCAAGATGTAGCTAAATTCGATTTCTCCAAACATCTTTGAGTTAATTCTAAATTATCGCTTATTTAATAATAATGGAGGTAATTTAATAATTTAACTAAAGAACAAATAGTAAGATATTTATAACTAAAAACCTTAAAATATATAATAACTAAAATACATTATTAAAAGGAGTCCCTTTTGGCAAGGTTTCAAAGATACTGGCGTTCCCCCTTTGAATAGCTAGACTAATTCTTTGTCCGAGGTAGCTGCCAGCTCTTCGGTCTCCTGTGATGTCGACCAACCTATTTGCTATTTCCTTAAAAAGCCTTACAGCGCTAGGACCCCACGGACCAAGGGTCTCGACACCGAATGGGACAAAATCATATTCGGAGTCTAGACCCCTGTATTTGCATGCCTTAGATTTTTCAGCCGCTTCGCAAGCCGCACAAGCTCTGTTGTTGGTTCCATGTTATTCGCTTATTTTAAATACATGCAAAATAATATTTCAGACTCAATCGGTAAATAATCTGTGAGTAATTAAAATAAACTATTATCTCTTTGAATCTTTTCAAACGTTTTACTACTTGTGCTGTTTTATATTTCCACTCACACCAATCATTTAACAAAATACTTTTAGCAATGTCTTGTGACCACCTATCCTAGTTAAGATGGAAGGAAAGAAAAGCCAATAATTATGTAAAAATATAGTAAAACTTCATTCTCATTTAAGGATTCTTGTCCCGCATAAAGCAAAATACACAGAACAGTTTTGATCTGTGGCAAAATATATTAAAAAAGGATAATTAATTTGAAAATTTTCTATCAAACCTTTTTAGTAATGAAAAGTACCATATTTAATTTGCAAGGCTTTGTTTTCTTTAAAGGTTTTTTTTTATAAATACTTAATAAATATATAATTTTGTTGATTATGTAGTACGGGTCGCTTCTCTAACAATTTTGATAAATTAAAATTTCCTAAATAAAGAACCATTAGTCAACGTTAAACAGTCCTAATTGAAATAAAAGAGGATCCGAATCATAATCCTCACATAAGAAAACTATCACAGCTAAAATCTGAAAATATTTAAACCAATCAACTCGTAAGTAAGAAAACTCTAACCAAACAGAATTTTATATTCAACAGATACAGTAAAATAATATAAATATTTTAATAAAATTATGATTTTAAATCAGGAACTTATACTAAGGTAATATTTTATTTTAAATATTTTAGTACTTATAATGGCAGATAATATTAAAATTGTACGTCATAATTATTTTGAATGTTTTTGGAACATTATAGTGAAGAAAATAAAAACTTGTTATGACGATTCAAAAATATGCGAAAAATCCTTGTAACTTAACAATAATTAGCTTAATTTTATTGGCATTTAATATTTTTCATTGGATTTTAGGTCATACGCTACTATATTTTATTTAGTGTGAATAGCGTAGAAAGAAAATTATTCAATGGTAGAAATGGTATAAAAATAACCATTAGATATTAATAGGATTATAATATTCAATATTATTGAAAAATATGGCGACAGTTACAGGGATAGCATAACGTAGAATAGTTATACTTAAGGATACTAATTATCTTACATACATATTGTTAACATAGCATCAAAGCCAATTAAAAGGACTATTAAAACATACTAAAATTATCTTTTTAATTAAAACTGAACATGATTTTAACGTATTAGAGAAATCCGCGCTGAGAGAACTTTGCGTTTTTTAAAATCAAATATTGTAACAAATAGTCTCATTATCCATTGCAAATGAAAAATAACGTAAAACAATGACTTTAGATCACTATCTAAAATTCAGTTTTATTAGCTGCCTTTTTTTCAAGCTCAAGATCTTTTTTTGGTTTTCCTATAAAACAAGAAAAGATTCAAAAATAACAATTTTTCAAATTCCGTCAAAGTTTATTTTTTAAATAACTTTTGTTAGTGTTATTAATGCTAAAAGAAATATTTTTTTAACAAATCTCAATCTATTGAAAATATGTAAAGGAAATGATTATATGTACGAAATGTTTTAGATTTACGAAAACTTTAGAAGCCGTGTAGACGAATTTCACGTTTTTTATAGTCTTAAATAGAACATTTTGCAAAAAATACCCGTAAAATATATGTATTTTCCAATATTATTAATTGAGTACCATATGGAACCATAATAAATTTTGATAAATATATGAATATCATTATCTTTTTGATATTTTCTTTAAATAATTATAATAACAAAGTTTATAACAATATTTACTTTATGAAAATTCTCAAAAATCTCTTTTCTGTAAATTCAATTATGTTTACATTCTTTGAAGACTATATCGTCATTAAAACATAATATAACGATCCATTTTCCAATAATAGTTAATTTACCAAATCCCTGCGTAATATAAACAGATCCCTGGTTTTAATTATCTCAACAATAAATTACCGGCTATTTAGTTACATCGCAGTCCTATCCCTCGCGATTAATACTACCCCCATTTCGCTGCATAAAAGAGATATTTCAGCGGAATTTTCGCTGAAGAAAGCGTGAAATTTAATATCATAAGTCCCCAGTCGGTAATTAGCGCAAAAAGCTGCTCGGGTGTTTATTAGCCGTTTATAGAATTGAGGAGGTTCCTCCGCTCGAATCTGCAACCTGTTGCCGACGGACCGCCTTCCGCCCATCGCAGCCTTTCCGTCAACCTCAGCGAAATACAACTGTCTCAACTTAGCTATATATTCCTATAATAAAATACGTACCTCGTAACGAAGCGGCTTCAGCGACGTCAGCGTTTATTTTGACACAAAATTAATTACGTAAAACAAATTAAGTTCTTTTTATTGGTTTTATTTTTTTCCATTTATCATAATTAAAATAAAAATACGTTTAAACAAAACCCACTTTAGGAAAAAAGAATAGGAACGGCAAAATAAGTGTACGTAATCGGAAATCAATCAACGAAGGAGTAAAATAATCGTGTTTGAGCGCGTGCGGCGGCTAAGTTGTCGAGTTTAAAGTACCAGGGTGGTAGAAGGCTGGAGAGGTGCCAGTGGCAGACGCGGCGCCGCCGCCGCGGCTGACTACAGAGTGGTAGCGGGCCGAACGCACACGGGCCCCACCCCTAGCGCACGCGCGCTACCACCGGTCCACGGCGCATGACCGACATCCTACCGAAAAGTGGAAAAGTGACTCCTCCAACGTAGATACACCATTATGTACTAAATAAATATTGTATCTTAATAGATGCTTTCCCGAGTACATAATTTTGACCCAGTTGCAGATTTTTATACCCGTTTTTTGAAGTACCTAAGTTGGGAGAGCCAATTGTGACACCTCATTTGCCTTCCACATCTCCGTTGCCGCAGAAATATTTTGATATCAGGTACAAGGAACATAACAACTTATCAGGACACATCCTATCTTAACACACAGTGCCATCATTAAGTTTTATTAAATATAAATCAGAAGAATCTATATTGGTTATCCTTCGTAAGAATGTTATAGAGTTCCTTGATTCCGCTGTAGTAGCCAGTTCTTAGAGTCGTATCATACCCGCGCGGCAAACTTTGGAACGCTGACATTATATCATTTTCTGAACCAAGAAAGACGCGCATTTCGAATGCATACGGTATTGATAGCAACTGATGAGCATAGTCCACACTGTGACCACAATAAGGCTTTCCGTTTAACTCGAATATGCTCTGGTTTGTGAACAAGTGGACACCTCCAGCCCTTTGGTTAACCTTTGCGGCTACCATAGTTGCGACCTTCTCCAATTTTGGTCTGGAAACAGCATAGGAAGATTCGTAACCATGCGGGTAGTTGAAAGAGTGCCCGTCTCTTCTCAAGGAGATGTACATTTTTATGTCCTTCTTATATTTAGAGAGGACCCCTTGAACGAACTGTGTTTCAACTTCCGAAGCGGCGTTGGGGCCTGGGTATACGGGGGAGAAGCTACTATGCACCGTCGGGCAAGCCTTCCAATCACCCTCGAAGTTCCTGCTGATGTCTACACCAAAACTCATGCCGTCTGCTGATGTCATCACATTTTTTCGCCATTTTATTCTATTCTGAAATATTTAAAAAATACTATTCGAGCGTAAGATATATCAAGCTATTACGAATACCTACTTAAGATTGAAATAAAATATTTATTTAGATAATCCATGTCAGATGGCCTTTTTGCACTATGATGTAGACGATTTGTGAGTATGTGAGTATGTACTTCTTATATTGAAATCTACCGCAGGAAACCTTATACTGAAAAGAGTAAGTCTTAGAACGCCCCATAGTTTCAGAATCTTTTTAGAGGATTCATATTATGGGTTTAGATAAAGTTTAGTTAACAGTTTCATCTGTTTACAATTAGGTATTAACACTCATCTGATACTATTTTCACCCACATTTGTGTTTCATACCCGTCATTATACAACAGTTGCATAATTTACTATTAGGTTCCAGGTTATAACCAGAGAATTTAAATAATACATAATAATACCAACACTCACACCAATTAGCCTAGCCCCAAAGCACTGTAGGGCTTGTGTTATGGGATACTAGGGTAACGGATAGAATACATATACAGTACATATATAAATATATTTATATAGAAATACATATTAAACATCCATGACGGGAGTACAAATGTTCGTATTCATCACACAAACATCTGCCCCCACCGGGACTCGAACCCGGGACCTTTCGAGTTGGCGACACCTTGAAACCCGGCGTACAAACCATCGGCCACGGAGGTCGTCTCCATTCTTCATAAAGCTCCATTCTTTATTTACAAAATCAATCATGTCTCCGATGTAGCATTGCTACAAACCTTTGTGGTTTTTCTAATGCTGTAAATATAAAATATATAACTACTGTTTTTAATGGTAAATAAAAGAATAAAAAAAATCTACTTACATTCCTTGAATATTCTCGACCGTCAGGATTAACTGACGGCATTATCACCCAGCGTACGTTAGATATCATTTCATCATTTTCCTCGCACGATATCAACTGCTCTATTAGATACAGAGCGAATTCCACGGAATGTGAACCAGCTTCTTGCCCAGCATCTATAGCAATCACAGGCCTTTCGTCTTCTTTACCATTGTCTGGAGAAGTTCTTATGAGGATCTGAAAATTTAAGCAGTTTATAATAATACCTATGCAAGAAGTACTTAAATCTTTGAACTTCTAGATTCTTTAAATTCATATTGTTTAATGAGTTTGATAATATACAATGACAACATAGTTTGACCACCAGAAGACATTAAACAAAAAATAACCGACTTTGAAAACGAAAATAGAAGTAAAAAGTAAAATCTGGGTCATGATTTGGAAGTCTGCGGGGACAAGATTGAAAGAACAATAGCAGAAAGTATTATTACCGATTGGTAATGATATATGATATTCCATTTTTTAATCTTGGTCTCACCCGACTTCCAAATCATGAACCAGATATTAGTTTTTTAGATCCATTTTTGATTTCGATGTCGGTTTTATATTTTATTAAAAAATTTTTACTTTATCTATTTTGTTAAAATCACAATGTCCAAGTAAAAAATAAACAATAATACTCTTGAAATAAAATCTACTGAGTCAAACTCAATATTTTTTTAATAGCATCAAACTGCAAGCATACTTGCTTCCATTGAACAAATTAAAAATCACTCAAATCGGACCAGAAATCTTTAAGTAATCGGTGTATGTAAACAATGTATTAGTATTAGTGTGTATTATAAACAAAGTATCATGCAAATTACATCGAACAAGTAACAAAAATGCTTATGAAATAAAAAGTACTAGACCAAACTAGATAAAATTTTATTAGAACCAAATGGAAATTATTCCGTATCGAAAAAAAAAGAATCACGCAAATCGGATTACAAATCTGTGAGGAATTGGTGTTCATACATAAAAAACATACACACCTTATAAAGAACCTCCTCCTTTTTGAAATCGATAAAAAAATAGAAAAATTAGAACTAACCTCATATAAATTCCTCCCTTCATACGTAAGTTTGTCTTGGTATACCTCAGTTACATTTGCACAATACTTCTGAATCGCCTTTAAGAATATGGTTATCTGAAATATTATGTTAGGAAATTCGTGCTTTTGCTTAATCAAGACGGATTAAAACAAAATTATTTGAATCAGTTATGTCTCTTACCGTACTAGAACCAATTGCTGCTTCAGAAATGCAAGGGGTTTCACCTTTAGTTATCAAATCATCAATCATATGTTCATAACATTCCCTCATGTACCTGCATCTAAATAAATACAGCCAAAAAATTATTATCATGGGAGCGTCCGGACTAGTACATTCTTCAAGTGTTTTTTTTTCTTCTGAGGCTATAAGATTCCGATAAGAGAAAGTTTGTGATACGAAAGGAAAGGCTTGGGATTTTTTTATCAACCACTCCGAAAAAAAATCTGCCCGATCAAGCGAGTCGATCTTAAGTTACACGTGGCAATTCGGACGTCATTAGGCGCTGGCTGAAAATCAGCGCTGCTGTGGTATCGCGAAACTACTACCACAGTAGCATAGCTGTTAGCCCTGCACAGCAACACCAGCAGATTAGTTTAGTTGTTTTTGTTTATTATTATTTGTTTTTTCTTTGTTGTTATGTTCTTTCAATTTTGTTTTGTTTTCAATGTATGTATGCTGTGCAACCAATAAATGTTTTTCTTTCTTTCTTTTCTTTCAATCGTTTTTCGGGGTTCGGTAGTCCTGACAAGGAACCCTTACAGTTCCTTCATGTCCGTCTGTCGGTCCCCGGTTTTGTTTGAAGTCTAGTCTAGTCTAGCACTAGAGAGCTGTAATTTTGTATTTTAGTTGAGATACATAGATTGATATTAATTGGTTTTTCTAATTTCCGATATAGAAAATAAAGACTCCTGCTCAAATATATTTTGATACTACGGAACTACGGAACACTACACTGCGCGCGGCACGTCAGGCACTTGGCCGCTTTTTTTTAATTCAATGTGATCTCTTCTTTCAACTCTAAAGAATTCTGGGAACGTTATTTTATACTGCTGAAATAATATAAAGCTCTGACTCCGATGAGATTTTTATCAGAATTACAAATTGGTCATTTGTTTATAACCAAATTCAGTCATAGATATTTAATCTTTTATCCATACGCCTACAGACATCTTTTCCATATTTATACTGATTTCTCTGCATATTTAATTTATGTTGATTTTCTTTTTTCTCATTGAACAGCTTTTTTTGGAAATAATCTCAGCGACGACTGTGGAACTCTCGTATGTGTAAAATAAATATGCCTTTATTGTATGAATACTAATATTATTATAGGATTGCATAATTAATAAATAATGTGTAAAAAAACATACATCCTTTGTTGTCAAATCAATAAAACTAAATTTACTTATGTTAGAATAATTTAATGTTGTACCTACCCACAAATGGCACTCAGCGTAATAGGTAAGTTTGCTAGAAAATAAACGTAGTATATAATTACAAATTAGTGAATTAACAATGAAAGAAACACTTTCACATAAATCCCGTACCATTTAAAAAAAAAATTATAAATAACCTTAAGTGGTACATAGCCATTAGTACTGCAACGGAAAAGTCTGTAGCGAGTCCATGGTTACAATCAGAAAAATGTAAAACGTAATTTTATGGCAATAAATCAGTCGTAAAACAGTTACACATCGAGATAAAACTTTCATACGTATAATGCGGAAACCAATTTGAAATAAACACAAGAAAATTCTGAGTAATTTATTTTCTACTTGACTTAAAACTTTTGTCGAAGTTAAGGTAAGTAAATTCAGTCTTCACTGGAATCAGATGTAGAGGAGCTGGAGACGTCGTATATTCTGAATTGCGCCTTTGGTTTGAATTCATTCCTTATTTGAGCGCCGAATGCCTTGAAGCCTTCGTAGAATTGTGGCAAGACGTTACGCAGAAGGACCTCAGGGAAGACAAACTCATAACCGTTAGTCAGTTCCATCGTGTATGAATATGGGACACCGACTGCACCGAACGCGTAGTCATCGCTTCCACCCGCTGCTGCATACCATTTACCAGCGCTCAAAACCTTAAAAGGCGAACCACCAGCATTTTGGACGGCTGCTGACACTCTTTTTGCCAACTTATCAAGCTTTTTCCATTCTTTCGGAAGGAAGTCTCCGGTATATCCCCATGGGTACACCAAGTATTGGCCATATGAATGTAATGAGACGTATAGCTTCATTCTTTGTGCGTTTTGCACCATAACATTTCTGACCATCCTAGTCTCGGGCTCGGAGAAAGGCTTCGGTCCAGCGTAAGTCTCCTTGTTGCATGGGTCGCTTGAGACACCACTGACGGCCCATTTGAAGCCGTAGTTTCTGTTGCCGTCAACGCCCACACACACAGAATTTGTTTTTGACATTGTTTTCCTCCACAAGCGGTTCTGAAACATGTTTCTTGTTAAAAACTTACCCGACGATGTTGTTGTATAAAAATTAAAAGAATGAGATCAACTAATGTCTTTATTTATTTATTAATAACAACGCATTGTAAATTTTGTTCAAGTCTTGCGTAAAAACATGTTTATTTAAATACTATGCCACTAATAGTGCAATAAATCTACAGAATATTGATACTTTTTTAAGTACTGAAAATATTCTTTTTGCCGTCGCCTTGACATAGCAAGATATGATTTCTAAATACTAGGCTTTAGATTGTGTTTTTATATATAAAAGAACTTACTGCCTTGCTAGATCGTGTGTACTCGTACCCATCAGGATTGACGACGGGTAGAATGTACCAGTCTACTCCTTCCAGCTCCTTTCGTCGGCCATCAGGATGATTGGTCAAACGATGGATTATGTATAGTGCCATTGCGGGAGCCACCCATTCCCGAGCATGGATGCCTAGATTTCAATAAAAAATTACGAAATCAGAAAAATATTAAAAGTCATATACCTAATTGAATACAACATCTTTGTGAAAATATGAGCGGCTAAAACATATGGAAAAACTAAGAATCTTCTTACACTTGTTTAATCATGTAGTTACATAAAGTTAAGAATTTTGCTTATCCAGAAGCCTTAGAAACCACATAACACGGATTCTAAGTCAACCCCAAAAATCTGGAAAGGTCAACTAAACCCGATTCATGAGTAGATGACTTGCTTAGAAAAAAAAATAACAAAAAAAGTTTTGTAGTTATGGATCTAATTGGTAAGAAGAAATATTCAACAGTGACGATATTGGGAATTAAAAAAATGTGATCGAGTTACTAACCTATACCTATACATACTCGATAGCATATTGTTTACAATGCAGGAAATATAATAAGATGTTTATATGAATTTTGCACTCACCAGCATCTATAAATATGATAGGGTTGCCAGCATTGGAGTTTTTGGATATCTTCACCAACTTCACAGGGCGACCCTGATAACTGTTCCCGAGCGGTTGAAGTTGCACGATGTCAGAATGCCTTCTCGCCACGTCTTCTAAGAAATCTAGAATCTATTGAGCGATATATTAAATACCTATACAACTAACCGTACATTTTGAGTTACCGGAGAAACTTAAAAATTGTATGAATAAAAATAGTGAGAACTGTTATAAATAGTAACCCCCAATACAAAAATAAGACGGGCGCTCCCATTTGAAAACATTGGCTTAGGTAATATCTTTATACATACATTTTTGCTTACATCACAGCAAGGATATCAAAAGCGTACAGCATTGAATAGATAAATTATATATTATAATTCTCACATCTACTACTAGATTCCTGTACAGCAAAACCATGTTTTGCACTAGCTGATGCCCGCGACTCCGTCTACGTATATTAATTAGTTCCCTACACAAACTGACATTTCTTATTTAAGATTTCATCCTTTAAAATTATTTTTTAACCGTAGAAAGTAGCGTATGTCCTTCTCTATCTCTAAATTGGATAAGTGGTTATGAACTCCTAAGCATAACAGACAGATAGATTAGTCGTGCTTAATTAGTGGTTAGAAATATTAATAGTGCCAGGTTGATAACATATAGTACTAGTTTCTGAACCTACTCAGGCTATCTATTCTGTAAAAAAGTAAAATCGTGTTCAAATTTTAAATCACACCGCGGATTCCGAAGTTAAACGTGAGTTTATTCTTACAGATAATCACTGCTGTTCGATGATATATTTTGACTAAACTTTATATTAATTGACACTTACATTGGCGTAAGAATTATAGCCGTAGACATTGAAATGATTCATAAGCCTCCGCCTCGGCAAACGCTCTTCAAGATGCCTGTTGAAGAAAAAAACCGTTTTAAGATTTGTCAAAATTTATTCATACAGTTTATTCAAATGATTTCAAAAATAACTTATTATATACCTATTTAGAGTAAAAAAATATCGTCGTCAAAACATATACCAGAAGTATTGTAATATAAATTTTAAATTATTTTTTGAATGAATTTCATTATTGTAATGAAATAAGACGAGATATGAGACACAAATTAAAAACTCTGACTATTATAACAAAACATAGTACGCAAACTAATATCTCTGTCGGATATATCGGCGATAAGCGTCGGATAAATCCGACAGGCACGGTTTAAAATTAATAAGTCAGACAGCTCTTTCTCTCATGTAACATACCTGCCATAATGCGTCTTCTTAACTTCGAAAACAAGGTCGTTCTCTTGAGCGTAGTCCTGCACGAAAGCTATCCTTGTCGGCGGCACTAGCAGGTCCAAGCTGTCATTCAAACCTCGGCTAGTCTTCAGCACCTCAACTCCCTCTTGAGGGTCGTGGAACTTCACTGCCGACTCCACTTGACGTTCATGAGTCGGAGTCAAACGTATCAATGTGTGACTGTCAACAAAATTTATTATGTTACTTCCATCGTTATGCCAAAAATAGAAAGAAATAATTTTTCTGTCTGACTGTTAGAAAAGTTTCCGTGCTTAACAACATAATCGATTTTGTTGTTTTTTTTTTCATAGAGATAAAGAGAACTTGTTGAAGAACATTAAGTTATTTGATGTGCCAAAAATATATTGTAATGAAGGATTGAGCAGTAGCTTTGCAACAAGAAATGTATAAAAGTACTTCATATGACAATGAGAAAAATCAATAAAATTCAGAGTAGTTTATTCAGTTTGTAACAAAATATCTGGTCTTTATTATTGAAAGTAACTTTAGAGGGTACTCACTTGTCATATTTGAGATTTTCTTCACAGCCTACTTGCAGAAATAATGATACTAAACCTGCAACAATAATCACATATATTTAAAGAAATTAAATTCTAGAAATAGTATTATGCAGTATTTGCATGTTTTGTCGAATATGTCATCCTACCATTACCATTGATCACTCCTACCATTTTTACCTTTACCCATATCCCGTGGGGCTCTAAAACCTCACCATAGTTGGTAACGCCAAAGACAATATAATTTGTAAATCTCCATTCCGCGCCATTCGTTATCTTAGCGACACTCTAGACCAGGTACAGGTACGTACCTGGGCGTTTTTCCCCGCCCCCCACGACAACGGCTAACTAGAGCCGAGTTCCGAGTCTCAGAGACGCCCCCTAGTTGAGCCGACCCCCTCAGGTTTGAGTGGTCTAGAGGATCACACGGAGTGGAGATTCCCCCCGTGGGGAGATGCCATCCGCCTGGAATACCTCTGAGTCACTCGCCAATTCTCGGCTTGAGGTCCCCTAAAGATCCCTAAACTCGGTGACGCTGTAAAGGTCACCTGTGACCAACAGCATAAACACTCAAAAAAAATCGTTATCTTAGTGGTAACTGCTAGCACCAGGAAGGGACAGCTGCAGGCTGCAGCAGAGGCTGGGCGCATCCGCCGTCACGGCTCAACCCCTCAAGTAAGTAGTCAGCGTTTATTATCAATCTATCCTAGGATCCTCCATCCGCCTTTATACATTTCCAACTAGCACCTTACAGTACACTGTTCGGGATTTCGATCCCACCAGATATCGTTTACCCCGCCTAACCAATAGTGTTATTTTACTGTAGGTATCAATCAGTAAAGTGGAGATTTACCCCTAGTTGGATCCACTAATTCTAGTGGAAAATCCCCTTTGTCGTACCATCTATTACTTTATTCAAACAAAAAAAGTAGGGGGTGGAATCTGCTAAGCTAGCTTAACAATCATGTCTCAATGTAGTAGTTCAATAATATCGCTTTTTTCTCATATAATATAAAATAAGAAATGCATATAGATGAATATCCCAACTGCATTTTTTGCATGTCCAAGCTGGGAATGCCAGTTTACATATTTTGTCATTAGATTTTTTTTCTGGCATGCTACAATTAACAAGTTAGTTGGCTAAATGAACTGGTTTTTATAAATATTAATATTTCTTTTAATAAATTATAAAATAAGGTCTGATCAAGTACTTAGTGGCGTGTCCTCAGCTTACTTCTTCTCGAAGATGCACTCACCTTGACTATGTTCTAAGTTTTATAACTAAAAGATCCCATTAATAAGTAGTTGCTGCATACTATTTTTTTTTTATCTATTGAAACGCAAATGATTTGCATTAAAAAATTTCTAAGCAAAATCAGAAGCTAAAAAAATCATGCATAGGTTACATATAGGGGAGTTACCCTAAAAAAATATCAAAAATAAAGTTTTTATTCTTCCATTTTGTCAACGTGATCAATATACATATCTCCACAAAAATTACAGCTCTCTAGTGCTAATAGTCTCCAAGCAAAATCGGGGACGGACAGGCGGACATGACGAAACTACACACATCAAAAGTGTCTAGGGATCAAGCATTTTTATGCGGATTTCTTGAGATTGAGATGTGGCTTTGTAATAAATTTATGATTTTATAAATTTATATGGATCCTTTTTGGTGCATTTCATAATTTGAATCAGGAACTGTGAATCAAATTCGAGTAAAAGATGAAAATCAGCTGTCAATATTTTCCCTATAAAAACATACAACGCATTGAAGACATTATTAGTGCTACTGTTTATACTACTGATTAAAACCAACGTTATTATGGAGCGGCGACGTCATTTAAGCAGGGAAGAAATGCTCAGAGCCGTGGGAATGATAGAAGCTGGTTCCCGGCAACGTACTGTGGCTTTAGCTCTGAATACAAGTCAGAGTGTTATCAGTCGACTTTGGACACGATACCGAAGCACTGGTACCGTGGCTGAGCGCCATGGAGGACGGTATCGCTGCACCACACGGAGACAAGACCGATACATTCAAATCTTAACTCGAAGAGCTCCAACAATAACCGCCATGATGTTAGCCGTGAGGCTTCATCACTCTTCAGGGAACTTAATTAGCGACCAAACAGTCAGAAACCGCTTGCATGAAGTGAACCTTCATTCCCGAAGACCGCTACGGGTACCACCTATAGCAATGCACAATCGTAGGATTCGATATCAATGGGCTCTTGAACACAGAAATTGGGCAGAAGAACAATGGCGTTTCGTGTGCTTTTCTGATGAGTCTCGTTTTGGTATGAGACCGGATACAAGACGTATACGACACTGGAGAACCCCTGGACGCCAACAGCGATTAAAATCCTGCCAGGAAGTCCATCCTTATAGTGGTGGAACCATCATGGTATGGGCGGGTATTTGGATCGGCGGAAGAACTGAGTTGATTTGGATCAGAGGCAACCTCAACGCTCAAATTTATGCTGAGACGATTGTATCAGACGTCATCGTTCCTCTACAAGTGCAAATCGGTCCCTTATTTCAGTTAATGCATGATAATGCACGACCGCACACCGCAAGAGTTGTAAGACAGACTCTCGCCGCAGCTAACATCAATGTCCTGCCCTGGCCTGCTCAGTCGCCAGACTTGAACCCGATTGAGCATGCATGGGATATGCTACAGAGAAGAGCTCTGCCGAATATGGAGGGTATCCAGTCGCAAGAAGACCTTTTTTTGTTGTTGCAACGAACATGGGCGGCCATTCCACAGCGTGATTTGGATGAACTCATTTTGAGTATGCCAAACCGATGTTCTTGTGTTGTTAGTGTTCGCGGTAGGAATACGGATTATTAATTGTTTAAGTTACCCAATAAAATTTTAGAGAAAACTGTTATTTCAGTCTTTTTTTCGAACTTTTGTGTTAGTGGTTCAAATGTCAAAAATCCCTTTATTAGGAAAATGGCAAATTTCTTTATTAATGCAAAGGTGACTTGGTTTATCGTTACTGTGACAAACGAAAACACTTTATTTGATGAATCCTTAAAGAAAATTTTAATTAATATCAATCAGGAGAAAAGTTATTGCAAAAATATATGTTGATCCCTAGACACTTTTGATGTGTGTATAAGGATTCCTTGTCAGGACCCTAAAAAATGCATATGTTGATTCGGTCCATATACATAGACAAATTAGAAAGCGAATACGTTTCTTATTTTGTGGGTCAAAACTGTATTAAAAATCAAATCTACTACTTAGCAGAATCAACACCCGGTTTTGCATCAAAAAACAACAAAAATATTTTTTCAGACCTGCCCTGACCTGACTCACAAGTAAGTATAATTTGCATGTGAGTAAAATGAGAAGTATTGAGTTTTCATTCCATATTTATATTAGAATTTCTAAATTTCCGCCAAACAGCTTTCTCATACATAAAGAAAACTGCTCTAAAGTAAAGTTTATGGTAAAGATAAAAGTCGCTATTGATATTTCATTCTTGAAGATTCGCAACAAAATGAAATTCAATGAATAAAGGTCACCGTTGAAATTAATTTTATAATAATAATTAAACTGAACAAAATTTATAACAACTTTTGCTAAATTATTTTAACTACGTTAATTTTTTTTTATAATTTTAAAGCCAAATGGGAAAATGTATTCATATAAAAAGAGCCTTTTGAAGAAGTACAAGGTTCTTAGGGTAGAGCTTAGTCTAAGTATTTCATTAAAGGGAAGGCAATATTTTTGTCATCGTGATTTCATAAATATAAGGCCGTCGGTACAAGGTTGTGCTATTGAGTTTATTTTCATTTATTCATTTGTGTATACGTACAATGACTAAAATACGTTTCCATTTTCCTAGCTAACTATGGTTTTACTTTTTCGTCTTATTCAGAAGAAAAGAAAATAGATTTCTATACACGGCTCCTATTTTGTATCCTCTATAATGCTTGTAACCATAGTTTCTGAAGATTTTTTTTACAAAAGGCCTCGAAAGTTATTTCAACCCACGTAATATTATTCGTTCATATATAAAATAAAATAGTGATACTTTTATGTCTGTCAAAAGCTAGCATAGCTTTTCTGATGGACTCCCCAATTTAAGTGAAAATTGCATTAACTAAAAGCTTTTGCATAAGCAATTTTGTAAAAACGATTTTTGAGACTTTCTCATTACTGTAATAAAATTTAAGTAAATATATCTTTATATATATAATTCTTCTGTGAGTGTGTATGTCACTGAACTTCTCTTAAACGACTGGACCGATTTTGATGAAATTTTTTGTGTGTGTTCAAGGGGATCTGAGAATGGTTTAGATTCACAATTTTGTCCGCTGGACAACCCCTATTTTTTTAGGGCGGTACGAAGTTCGCTGGGTCAGCTAGTCTTATATATAAAAGTCTCGTGTCACGGTGTGCGTAATTGAACTACTCTGAAACGGCTCGACCGATTTTCATGAAATTTTATATGCATATTCAGTAGGTCTGAGAATCGGACTGCATCTATTTTTCATTCCCCTAATTGTTAAGGGTGGTCCGGTCCACCCTTAATTTTTTTATGTTGGACATATTTTTTTTTGTTTTTATTTTTGTATGATACATCATACAACCTAGGCTCAGAGGTTAATCCCGTAATTAAAAGTTTCATTTCATAATTATAAAAACTGCACATACAAAGTAAAATCAGTGCCAAATCCATGCTAATTTGCCGTGCCTGTTTACCGATAGGCCTAATACGCGAAGACGGTCAAGTGCGAGTCGGACTCGCATACGATGACTACCGTAGTAGAGTGTGTGCGGAAAGAGAATGGGATTTAGATTGGAGGGTGCTGTAGTGCTTTTCTACCGTATTTGTAAGGTTTTACCCCTTTTAGTCATGATTAAATACAAAAAACCGCAAGGATTCACAACAAGAAACAAATCCGTATCAATACAAAACTTTGACGTTTTACAGATTGCTGGGTTTGATTGCCAAATAAAAATCTTAATGTTAGTTCCGTTTTTCGCCACGCCCATTCTCTTTCCGCACAGACTCTATCATCATTCTTCATACATGATTTAATATTAGGGCAACCAATACACGTTTGGGTTACTCCATTAAGCTCCAAAAACACTTTCATATCAACTTCAAAACAGTTAATAGATAAATATTTCCACGTGTAAATTAATTAATGGAATCGTCTTAAAGTTTAAAT